GATTACATCTCGATTGATAGTCTGTTCCACTAGTGAATATCGTATTCGACTTCCGGACATTAAAGTCTTAAAGTTCAAATTCAAGTTCATTGCATTGGTCATGTTGGTCATATACAGTAATACATACAATACATGAAATTTCCCGGAAAAATGAATAACGATACTAATATACTAAAATATAAGAAACAGAGCACATATTGCGCAGAATAACACCTGTCTCTTATACACATCTAGATGTGTATAAGAGACAGATAATTAGGCTTATTAGGTCTATTAATATTGTTATCAAATACATACACTTGTATATAGCGTTATTAATATAAAAAACAGTAGTCAGTAATAATACATATTTATATCAATTCAGATTGCAATAGAACAAGATATGCATAAGGTAAATGTGAAGGCTTACTGGTATAGGCCTACGTTACTAAAGGAATCGGCAATAGGTTACCAATTATGGTTGCACCTTAAATATGTTCAGAGATACCAAATCATAATTTTGCAGAATCTAACGTGATTTAATTGGTCAACGTTCCCTAAAGTCAGTTGCAGTATTTAACCTCACGTGAAACTATGTTGACGCTTCTATAATTAATAATATTTTATAACTCTCAACATTGACCTAATGAGCAGGTATTCGAACAATATTGCTACTGCAGTCAGAATGTCTGTCATTGTATTATTTTTAAAACTTCTCTCGTCTCTAAGGATTAAAAAGGAGAATCCACAAGCGATCGATTAATATCATATCTTGCAGGATCAGACTTCTAGCCTAGGAATGGAATTAAAAACACAGCTCTATACACTATAACTCGTTTTGTTTTGTCCCGTAAATAAAGATCCCGGGTCCCCCAGGGCCAAATGTATGCCTAGTTTGTATAGGTGACTACATGCCAAGTCGTATGCACTAGTTATATACTGTCCATATTGATTAGTGATTCTAGGGTATTACGTGGTATCAAATATCGCGCTCACACGCGCGTAAACTTCCTATAAATCATTGCCCATTTTGTCGGGTCGTCTATACTTTCCTCGAACGAATATATTTTGGTATGAAGTTTAGTTGAAGAATCAACAATTCATCGAAAGTAGGCAGGTGGTAACTGGTAAGACTAATGTAGTTTCTTTTTACATTGCGTGACTTGAGTGGATTATCATCGTTTGTCGAATTAAAAACACTCTGAACGGAAATGAGGAACGATCGAGTTACTAAGTTTGTTGTAGCAGATTCTACGTCATTATTGACACGGTGTGAGAGACATATCACAGATCCTATGGTCAATGATGACATTCCATGTGTCAGGACTGGTTGGGGTGTCATGAAGCCAATCAGCTGCAGTGTCAAAGTCGTAACTGTATTCACACTGTATTTGTCATTTTTAATAAGAATATCCGGTCCTTCGCATAGCACAACAATTAGAGGAATTCCGTGATGAATTCGAATCCCATTCGAAGCAATCATTTTCATTCTCTTTTTGAAGGAACAGCACTAGCCATTGAAGGAACAGCACTAGCTCTCGTTTTCTACATCTACATTAATGTATATATTAATCTTATATCATAATTGCCTAATTGTATATAACAATTTTCCAATTTTATGAAACTACTTTGCTTTTATAAATTTGATTATTGAATTTTTAAATAATATTTTTTTCGGGGGGATTTTTCCTGTTTTTTCCTGCGATTTTGATTTTTGAACCTAAAATAAAGATTATTTTGAATTTCAATTTGAAAGTAGGCCTACTAATTGGAATTATTACGATATTCCCCCTTATTATTAAACTACAAAACATAATGAAGAGATAGGCCTACCTTTATAATGATTAGGTCTATGTTAGAGATAAAATTCTAAATTGTGTGCTGGTAATACCGAACATGCATTGTTGGCCTATACGAAAAAAAGAAAAAATCTAGAAGTGTGTAAAAAAAAATCACCCCAAATAAACATATGTCAAGGGGAGATGATGTCGTGCAATACAATATCAGGTGTGCCGAGTGTTAATATAAATGCATAAAATTATACAAATCTTTGACACATGTTAATTGTAGAGTTGATGCAGCTGTCCCAGACCGTCTTCACTCACATTATTTTTATAAAATCAACGAGGAATGGTACGTAGGCCTATCTTAATTTTCCACAGAAATTATTTTCGGTTGCCCGTGGCATTTATAACATTGTTATCAATACACGCAACATTATAAAACCGCCTTTCATCATCTCACATGTTTAGTAACGTAAAAACAAAAAATCTGGCGCCCATTGAGTGTGAACTTTTTGATGAATAGATTGTGATGAGTAAGCCCATAAGTATAAGGCACGGATCCATATATAATAATTTGTAGAATTTCTACTGTTTAATTTTTGTAATTTACAAATATTTTAGAAATTTATAAACAAAAATAAAAGGAGAGGAAAATACTGAACAGATTACATCTCGATTGATACTGAAGCTTGAATATTTCATAAAGTCTGTTCCACTAGTGAATATCGTATTCGACTTCCGGACATTAAAGTCTTAAAGTTCAAATTCAAGTTCATTGCATTGGTCATGTTGGTCATATACAGTAATACATACAATACATGAAATTTGCTTTCCCGGAAAAATGAATAACGATACTAATATACTAAAATATAAGAAACAGAGCACATATTGCGCAGAATAACACACTAAAATATTAAAAAGTAACATTATCTAACAAACCTCGTTTAACATCTTTTTATTTATTTTTTAAATTTATTTATTGCACCTCCAACAGTGTAAACACCAATTACAGGATAGAAATATAAAATATACAGTAAAAAACTTACACAATATAAGTAAAAAGCCAAAATTATTACAATAAAGATTGTATAAAAGACGCGAATGTAATACACTTGAACTACAATGAACAATATCAAATTCAAGATTATCACAAACACAATTATTATAAAGTGAAAACAATCTACAAAATATACCATTTTTACAAACATTGTTAATTGCACTAGGAATAAATCAGTCTTTGTTAATGAGGTATCAATTTTACTCGATAAAAATATGGAGATGTTTGTCTCTCTGGTTCTCTTCATTGCTAAGCTCCAGTAACTGCACTCCACTCCACTTTCTTTGGTTCTGCTAGACTGAACGATTTGAAGCAAATTTATGATGGGATCCTTCTGTCGTTGTTTTTTAATCGCCGAGAAGACTTTACAGAAAGAATAATTTATAATTTCGTCATCTCTTTTCATCATTCAAAACTTACCTTACAGACATAAACAGTACCGTACGTTCTTACATTCGAATATTGTGATACTCTGTAGACTAATTACAGGGAGCGTTTTTCTTTTTTTAATGGGAAAAATCTGACATTAGCTACCTGGGGATTTGAACCCAGGGTCCTGGAGTTTATTACTATCAGTATTTTTATTATTATTATTATTATTATTATTATTATTATTATTATTATTATTATTGTTGTTGATACTGTAGCCATCAACGCTGCTTTCATCATCGTCGTCATCGCTGTCGTCGTCGCCGTCATGGTCACCTTTATCTCGAATGACAATATAATTATTAAATTATTAAAATTAAATATTTGTATTATTTATTTGGTTATTCAGGAAAATTATCAGCTTTCAATTGAAAATTAGAATGAAATTTCATCGCCAATTAACAGTACAGTAATGTATATTACAATAGATACTGAAATCTGGTAGCTTCCAATGTCTGTTATAAGTCGATCGTGACGTCAACACTGTAACTCCCAATTTTATCTTCCTATCCCCAACCATGCAATAATTTTTCATTAGTTCACAGTTCGCTTGATCTTTGTTCAGTCCGTGTGCAAAAATTCCAATTAAACTTGAATGCCTATATATGGTCATTATGTGATGTCATCTTGACCGTATTTAGGCATGTCACATGCTTGTGTCAAATAACATTTGATAGTCTGGACAAACAGGGCTTTAGAGGCGATCAACCTGGACAATGAAAGAAAGATAGCCAACTCAAAATTACAAAATGTGACAACTGCCCCTTTATTCCAAATATTTCATGCACTCTTGTTTCACAAATATACAAGCATAATTTACATTTGACCTACAACCTTTTAGGATACATCAAATTCTAATTACACATACAAGTTGTTTCAAATGTGCGGAACATGTTTCTTTGCTGCTTCAAGCAATGTCACACAAAATTATGTGACAATGGAGATTCAAATAATGCCATGCGTACATTCACACACAGTGTCACACTACGTTCTTGCTCTTTGGTTCACAATACAATCTAGGCCTTATTTATTTCTGGAATATTTGAAAAATAGTGGAATTCAGACATTACAGTGTAACCAAGGGATAGCATTACTTCTTACTGTACATAAACCTAAATTGTAACTGCATTAAAAATAATACCGAAACTAAATATATGATAAAACAAAGGTTTAATCATAATGGAAAGCTATTCTTTCATTAATAGCAAATAACATCGCTGATTGCTTGGAACCAGGAAGAAAGGTAGTAGCACCACACCACTGTGGGAGTAAGTACAAGTCAACCTGAGAAGGCAACCACAATGCATCAGGCCTACATGTACGGTTACCACACTAACATGTTACGACCATCTCTTTTGGAAGTAAAGTTTTGGATACATTTAGACGTTTTCCTCCACATGAGTGAAGACAACGTTAAATAACTGCATGCTGATACATACAGGTACCTCAAAACTATGTGACTATGCGACAACTACATAGGAGGATGTAGCTGTTGAATGCAAAAGGAATCCATCATTAAACATATAAGTGTGAATTTTATTAATCTTCAAAAAAAGTCTACAATTATCTTTAGAGATGGAATTTTATATGATTGCAATTTAAATGAACCCTCCAGAAACAACTGATAAAAATACTTTCCAACATCAATATGGGATTTGTTTTGAATTTTGTACATTATCTGAAATGTACTGTACCATTGTTTAATATATTATCTGAGCATTTGATATAATTATAAACTCACTTCGTTTCTCTATATGGGCTTCACACACATTTTTTCATTCGGTGGCCAAAATCTACATAACATAATACAATTTTATTATATAGTTGAAAAGAATGCAATAAACTATAAAAATATATGACTTGTTAATACATTAGCCTCTTACACTGCGTTATTACATAACAATGAATCCATTTAAAAACATCATACACAAATACAATTCATATCTGAGGGAATAAATCCCATATCCCATATGTTTTATCTAATTGTTGATGAAACAACTAAAATCTTCCCACCCACAATATTATCTTTAAAAAAAATGCAACTTTTAAAAAGCCAAGATTGGCAAGAGAGAGTGTTTTGTTATTGTGTTTTATCACTTTTTCATCATCATTTCTTTGAGCGGCGAATATTTTGGAGATCATATATCCAGATTATTTTCTGTTTTTTAAGAAGCATGATATTAACTGTGGTCTCAAATATAGTATTAAATCAACAATGTCACTATCAGCATACATATATTATTTTGATGACTAGGGCAAAAAATCATTTAAAATGAATATTTATAATAATGATAACAACAAAATATTTTTCTATAATAATAATTATAATAGTAATAATACTTAAATGGCAATTATAATAATATATTTAATTTGGGTATATCAAAATAATCAGAAAGCAACATCTAAAAATAGCCAATAACATTAAAACTTAAAAATATTAATAACTTATTTTGAAGGTATAATTGTTTGATGCTAAATTAAAAGCATTAGCCTTTTTTCCCCAGACAGATTTTTCATGGCCAAAAACATTTTCATTTATGATTTCCGAGAGGAGTAACTAGTTCCCACTGACATTCCAATTTTCATACCTTATACACTTAATTTTTATGATTCTCTTAATTAATAAAGAAGTTTAACAGTAAAGTATAAAACTGTCACATAAACAATATATTCTCTGTAGATTTACTTCTAAAACTTAATCAGCAATTAAATAAATCTATCATCGCATCATATAAATGCATCTATTATATATTTGATATATAGTATAATAAACCAAGAGAAATCAAGTTCTCTTAGACTCATACTTATCATTCCTTAATATCATTAAGCTGAGCTTAATCAAATAATTATTTTATCACTGAGAATTAATTAAATTGTAATCATTTTCATAGGTTCACATTTCCTTAAATTAAAACAGAACCCAGAATAATTTACCTGTAAAATATTTAATCATTGTTTTTCCAATAATATTGTTCCTAATCAAATTTTGTTTGAAAGTATTTTGTAAAAAGTATGGAATCTGTAATTACTATATTAAATTTTCTTGAAACATAAACGCCTACTGTCTTTTCACAAGACCCTACTTCCAAAATCTATTTATACACATTTTGGTTGTAAAAACAATGAAAGTTTATCGCCATGATTATTACAGCTACAAAAAAAGAAGACGAATTCCCAAAACTTACAATCATCATATTGGATATGTATCTAAAACCTTTGGTATAAGTTAGTTTTACGAATGTATAAAAAGAACAATATGCAAATTTAAATTACATTGTTACATGTTGATATTTTATAATGGAAAAAAGAATGGATTTCCTAGCAACCAAAAGCTAAAGAATTGACAAAGTTCCTTAAATACCATTAAATATTAAAAATATATTGAAGTATACAGCAACACAGAAAGCTGCAAAATTAGGAAGTTGGAATATTTAATTTTAATTCATATTGTTTTCTCAGTTTATTATACAGTCTCTTAGCTACATAACATGTGCATATGCTATCAGATTTATATCTGATTCACTTAAGTATGTCTGATACTAAAAGTACTTCCAACCTTCATGGACATTTTCTTGATCAAACACAGCATTTGAAGCGGGGCATTCACTATCTGTTCAAAACAAAAGTTGTCTGACAGACAAACAATTGCTTGTATATATCAATCAGACTGTAAAGGCTACCTCAGACTTATTTTCTTATAATACCAACTCAAAATTTAATGAGCATATCATTCAGGTATAAAGACATCTCTTTTAGAGTGCGCATGACTGAATACTAAATACACACAATCACACACATTAACACTGAGGCAAATTTGTACATCAAAAAAAAAAACAGGACGATAGGTTAAATAAGCTACTTAACCATTTATTACTAGCACCAAGACGCATATTTTTATTTATAGTACTTTCTCTCCATGGTGTAGACTGCCACCACACATTCAAACTTCTTTAGGCTTTAACACAGACCCTTCAAATTTTGATACGAGTATGTACAATGCACAGATCAATAGACTCAAGCACACGCTCTTGTATATATACACACACACACTCATGCTGGAACGAAAAAAGCATATGTGCGTTAAACAGGTTGAATACTTTTGCCAACACCATAGTAGTCGCTTAACCGTTTCATATCAATAGAGTCCAGATTCCTTTTTGTATCTTGAAACATATTCCCCTGTACTTTATTTTCCTTAAAGTTGGCAGAATCACGGATAGAATCCCTGTTACTGTTCTTAACGTCCACATTCTTTTTCTTTATTGACATGATTGTGACAGGAGGCGGTGGTAGTGGTTTCGATTTAATTTGATAGTCCACATGATGCCTCCATTTTGTGACGTACAAAAACATTGCAATAACAATCAATACAGCCAAGAGGACAACAAGAATTGCCAATGCTACCGGAAGAACTGGAAATGAAGAAGGCTCTGAATCTGCCTCTGGGATTGTTATTCTAGTTGGCACTGCAAAAACAAATATCAGTATCATGTTATCAATAACATATTAAATGATGGCTTTGAAATATAGTGGATATTTAATTCATTATGGGTGAAATATTAATGTGTATAACAACAATGATAGTAAAAAAAAACACTAAAAAATATATAAAATAATTATATAAACCACAATAATTATAATGTAACAAGAATATCAAGATAACAATAGTATATGTTACAACAGGATTCTGTCATGGCCCTTGTTGTTGGACACAAGGTTGCTGAATTGAAGTAGAAAATTGCAAATAAAACCAAAGGTATTAATTTAAAAAAAATAATTATAATAATTTTGTTCAATAATAATAACATAGAAAAAAAATGACAATGTATCAAGAGGTTATTCTACTTATGATATGGATCAAGATGGATGGAAAATTGTTTTTTAAATCTTGAAATTCTTCAAGAAGTGTTATATATTGATATTTACAAATAAATTGTCCTATGTTTATTGTTTAACTGTGTATGCCTGACATATACATACACATTACAAAATTCAAATGAATAGAAACAACCAACAAATGATAGAGGGGCCTACCTAGAGTGTACAATTTAAATGGATTTCTTGGTCTCGCTCTATCTGATAATGTTTTGCTTGTTGTTCTCCCACCTACAGTAAATGAAGGCAATAAATAATACAAGGGTTATAATGCACTCATGTCATATAACATATTAATTCACAGATCTTATTTTAATAATAATGTACTGTGGATAATAATAATAATAATAGTAATAATAATAATAATGGTAATAATAATAATAATTATTATTGTTGTTGTTGTTGTTGTTGTTGTTATTATTATTATTTTTATTTTGAATCCACAAACAATATACACTCATTGTGCTGTTATTTCTTATAATATTGAAAATATCACATACTTAAAAAAAGAAGAAATAAATAATAATAAATGTGACAAAGCAGCAACTAATATACAGTACTAACTTTTTTGAACTACAGAGTCAGTGATCAATAAACAAAGCCTCAAGTTGAGGCAATTTATTGTGTCTCAGCATACAGAAAATAGAACACATTATTTTCTCTGTGGTCTCAGTGAATATCAAAGCTGTGTATTTGTCTGAATCATTGCTCTATCTGAAAGAACCCTACACAAATAATGGGCCGGTGGTGTGATACACACCTCTAAAATTGATGCAATTTTCAAAAATTAATAATCTAAATATGTATTATCTAATACATTCTTTCATGCGGCTTCAATTATGGTTAAAAAGCACAGGTTATTAAAACCCTGCAAACATTAATTTACTCCTATTATAGGTTCTCCACAACAATAGGCTGCAGCACTCGTGCAGTTACATGACCAATTTGAAGCAAACGCTGTGGCTAATTGCACAAGATGTGTATAAATTACCTGGAAATTTCAGCGTGATTACAGACGGGGTATTTTCACCACCTGGGAAGAAGAGAACAGGTGCAGAAAAAATGAGAAACTATTACAGGTGATATGGGTATGAGAGTACTCTACGGCATTGCTATTTATACCCAATGTTCTGCATTTAACAGCTGAGTAAAATAGCACTTAAGTTGATTATCTTTTTAATGCTTTGTATTAGAGCCATGTTTTGTTAGGGTTGTCATCACACAACTGTGAGGTAATAAGGGTGTTACGAAAACACTTCGCTCATTTTTGAAATTAAGATTGCAGTTTCATGTAATTTTGTGTGAGCTCACATTAATCCTGTCATTCACTTAGAGTGTAATTATCCTGATCTCATCATGTTGGTCATTGTATTGCTATATACATAAAATTGAGCTTAGAGCAAGCCGAGTTTGATTCATCATATGACATAGCGACGCAGTGTGCACGCCTTAAAGGAACACCAGTTTTATTATCTTTTATTATTATTTTAATGATAAATACATCCATTAATTTAAACAATGATGTTGATAAATATTATTCTAAACCATTTGTACATCATTTTAATCTTCATCACATTATAATTACTTAAACATGTCCAAAACCCAAAACACATACAGTACATTCTATTTCCTTTGACAGAGATGATATAATGCTCACTTAAATCATCAAAAAACATTGGAAAAACTGTGATCATCAGTATTCTAAGTAACATTTCTTTTAATAAAATACTGTCAGCTATGGAAAAAAACATTCAATTAAACATTAAATTGTTTATTTGAATATTTCAAATAAATTATCATCTTCCAATAAGACAGACTATAAATAACACATTATTTTGCTTTTCTTATAGTTTCTTTTATTCATTAAAAACTCACCAGCATTACAGAAACTTACCTGAGGGACATTTTTTACAGCATTCTCCAGGTAACATAACTGGATTTTTGCACTTCAGTTGCGGACATTCTGGTAGAGTGCAGACTGGTATGCCCTGTTGACAAACACAGAGAATACAGCGATCTGTAGTCCAATGCTGGCCATCCAAGTACACGGCACCAGAAATCTCACAGGTTTTCTCTGGTTCTGATGGAAGTAAATGAATATATTATTTAGTCTCAATATAGAAATAAATGTCTACCCTAAAAAAGTATTCAATTATGTTTTATTTATTTATTTTTTTTAAACTACTAAATACCGCTCTACATCTGCTACAGCAGCCAATGACTACCCCTCTATGCAATTTAGCACAACAATGTTGCAAGTTATCGGTTATTCTCTTATCCTTACCATTTAAGTTTTGTGTAGTTAATGACAAAAAATTATATATAGTGTAGAACCTGACCTTGTAAACAGGACGGGCAACACTGTCCCTTCCTCAATACGGGTGTCTTACAGTTAGCTGGTGGACAGGTGTTGGAATAACATGTGACTTCACCCATCTCACATTTACAGCTCGTACAATCGTCCTCTTTCCAGGTGGAACCATCTTCATACACAAGACCATCAGTCTCCTCGCATGGCATGTTCTCTGTATCGCCTGAACCATCAGTGTGGATATCTGTATATACCATAACAATAACAGGAAATTAAATTAATTCATCAACTCAGTGTTGTTTTACATCTTGAATCAAAAACCATCAATTTCATAATTTAATTCACCATACTACATGCAGGAATTTTTAAGTCACTAGCTAGGTCAACTCCCCAAGGACTCCTCTAAACCCTACTGTAGGGTTCTACGGGACTCTCTGGACTCTGGATCTCACAGGAAAAGACTTACGTGATACAGATTACAGACCTAAGTCAAATGTAGGGCATCATTTTAAATGATTTTCATATTTAAAGTTAAAATGAGAATCATTAACTCAGAAAAAAAATTATCTGTGTTTGAATTTGAAGCTATTACCTGAACAGTGAGGGCAGCATTTGTTTTCATCAATGCTTGGATGATCACAAGGTAATGGCGGGCACGCCTCAACAGAACATAAGACATGGCCGTTGTGACACACGCACTTGGTGCACATGTCGATGTGCCAGGTTTCCCCTTCTACGTAGTAATGGCCTCCTGTCGAGTGACATACCTTCAGATTTATATGCGGGATAGTGTTTGATTCCGAATCTATAAAAAGCAAGTAGATTAGAGGTATAATAATTCCCGTCATACGGAACAGTAAGTTGCATTAGTAATGTTCATTAATTTCTTTATGTACACACAGAAACAACACTTGGGTGAATGAATCCAGGTAATGATCTAGATAACAAACAAGAGCATGAAAATTACAATTTTCAGCATGGACTGTCTGTCATCAGCTAAATAATTGAAAAATTAAAAAAATATTTGCTTAATTTCTTCCATATTCAGGTTAAGTTATCAACTTACAATTAAAAATTTGAACGTGAAAACATTTTTTTTTTATTCATTTCTGGTTTGAAGTTAATAACTGAAACAAATTTTATTGGCAGACAGTGTATCTTTAGTCAAGTCAAAAGTCAAATCAAAATAACATTAATACATGCTCCTGAATGTGTCAGGTAAACATTTCCAACATAATAAAGATAAACATTGCTTAATTGAGCAAATACCTGGACAACTAGGACAGCATTCACCCGTTCTGATTACAGGGCTTTCACAAGCTGGAACGGTGCATGCGATAAGTGTGCACATTTCTTGTCCATTGTGGCAGTAGCATTCTCTACAGCCATCGTGCCAACTCTCACTGTCCTCGTACTGTTTGCTGAATGACTGACAGGAACCAAGGTCCACTAGAACTGTCACAGGCTTTGGAGTTTCTGTTAATTTTACTGTAAAAGTAAATGTTACTAGGTTTATAGGTTATACTCTTTAGTACATACGCGAGTACAAATTACATTATTACGCCACAATTGCACCTATGGCTATTGATATTGTGCTGTTACGGAACTCTTGATGCTAAGTAAACTGTGCTACACTTGAATTAACACAAATGGCGGTTGGATATGTCATTGTAGTACTGACTTTAATAGGACTATATGATATACCCTCACAATAAATTTCAAAAAACTGACACTCCATAAACCAAAAAAATAAATAGTGAACCAGGGTTTTAATCAGAATTTTTAAAATAACTGGAATGGGTGATAGGATATTGACAAATAAATGTATCCATAACACTGCATTACCTGCACATCGGCATATGTTACAGCCGCGGTCATTTTTCTTGAAGCCATTGGGGCATTGAAGGGTACAATCAGTCAAATCGGGGCACCGCTTGCATTTACACCGTGGACATCCCCATCGATCATTCTGGAACCCATAGATACAGTACTTGGAACAAGTGTTCACGGGTGAGCACTTGGCTGGATCAGACTTGCAGCTGCATATTCTGCAACCCTGACTATCCTCAGCCAATCCATTTGCACAATGAAGTGGGCAGTCACTCAGTTCAGGACAGGAAACTAGAAAGAAAATGTTTTATATAATTTATTTTTCAATATAATAATAAAATAATAATGTGCCATTTATATATTGCACAATTACTATAAATTTCCCCTATATACTAGTAAACATTTTTACCCCCTCAGTCATCGACAAACACCAATGTACAGAATCATCAGACTTACTGGTACTCACTTATACTTCTGGGTCGATAGAGCTATATGGAAAAGTGCCTTGCTTACAAAGACTCAAACAAACAGCACAGTGGTCCACAATTTATTCATTTAATCCTAAAATACCTGTATATGCATTTTCTTTAGCTTAGTACTATGATTATACTACTAGATTATTTTAAGTAATAATAGTCTCAAGTACTATAACACAAATAATCATCAGCTACCCTGGAAGGGTAATATTTGAATAATCTGCAGTCTAATAAATAATGAAATAAGGGCCATGATTACTATGCAGACTATAATCACCCTGTGCATTGATGAATGAATCAAATATCAGTATCTACCTGCTGCACAATTACACAGAGGACAGCCTTCATTGTCTTTTGTGAATCCGTGAGGACAGTCCAAACTACAGTTTAATTGTGGGCATGGAAGCGATGGAACTGTTATTATATCTGGCTCTGAAATATTAATCAATTAAATAATTAGTAGCTACAGCAGCAGCAACTACAAGTTCAATATGTAGAAAAGAGGAGTAAACTATTTTTTTTTTAGGTGAAAATGAATATTGTAAGATTTTATTACTGTTAAATTTACAAATCATTAATATACAATGGAGAGCAATTATTTCAAATATTTATTTATTTATTTAAAACCATATTTAAAGGAGGGTAGCCCATCCAGCAAAACTGATCATTTAGGGCCCTCACCATACATCAAAAATACAACTTAATAATATAACAATAAAATTTGATAAAACTATGAAAGAAAACAGGTAAATAGCATAAAAATATATCATCAGCACTCTTTATTGAGGTAAATAAATTACTAGCAAATGTAGAAATTTGACAAAAACATGCAGACATGTCTGCATACTATACCCGATTCTCATGAATTAACTTTGATTTGACAAGCTTACAAGCTATTTTACCTGATCTGCGATCCAACACAGGTGTGCAGGATCAAAGGCTAAGCATAATCTAAGCAAGGAAAGGTGTTGTTGATGATCCGGTTAAGATATACAACATACCATAGGTTAATGTACTGTATGTATATCTAATAGTGATTGATGTCCAAAACATACAAGTTATAATAAACACCAAGCAGCTTATACAAGCCAGAGGCCTATGGGGAGGAATACGATCACTGCCTATAAAGCCAATTTAAAACAGACGAAGCTGGCAATATTGCAGTAACAATGCTGGGATGCATACCATTTCATACCATTCAAATATTGCAGTGCCGTAATATAATGCCTTTTTCCTGTATAAATGGATTAGGTACACTGACGTGCGATTGGTAGTGTCGCTTGTATAAACAACTTCTCTTCTACTTGCCATCTTTATTTAGACAAAATAAAGTAATATTGAAGGAATGAGACCTGCAGATACATGTCGGAATGCACCGTAACCGGAATATTGCAGTTCTGAGACGGAATGCTGCACAACCCCAATATTGCGGTAACGGTTGGTTCTCATGTCCTTTTCATACTGGAGGCAATGCCAGAAAGTCTTCTGCATTTTGTATGCAAATTATATTTAATACTTTTTCAAAAAAGTTTTTTTGAAATTAAAAAAAAAAAAAATCATTAAATTCTAAGTCTTTAGAGTCAAACTTTCAACCATCTAAAGGTGCCAGCTACAATATTTTGTGCCTCAGCCTCGGTTGAGGCTGAGGTGGTCTGGACATTCAATCTGTGAAATCCCTCTCACAGGCCTCCCTATATTTTCTATTCTTAGATCGACTAATGCAATTAATACAATTTTAATATCAAAAACCTGAATAATGAGCAGCTGGAGACATACCAATACCTGATCACATGGATGATTAAATTATTAATTAAAGGAGAAATATTATACAACCTGTCCTCTGTCAGGTATATAATTTCTTTGGGGGGTTTTCTATCTTATTTTTTTATATAGTATAAATTACGTTGTCTCTCTTCTAACGTAATTTGAGAAAGAACAAACAAAATGAAATGCCACTGACGTCTATTGATTGGACAAGGGGTTTCAAGAGTGGATATAAATGTAAACTATACACTCCTGGGAATTAAAGGATTTTAATCAGCTAATACTTTGAATACAAATAAACTCCCCCGAAAAAAATCAGTCAATGTGTCTACTAATATTCATACTTTCAATAAAAATCAGTCAATATGTCTACGAATACTCAACACTTAACTATGTGTCACAGACAAAGGTAAATAATGTGAGTTAAGTACAAATAGACAGTTGATAGGGGGAAGGCTGCTCGGTGGTGACTAGACTACAGAGAGACTAATTAGTATTATGTTTAGTTATATGACCTAAAGTAAAATATGAACTTTGATGATCTTTAGAAAACAAGTGTCAATCACAAGTATTTATAGGTAACCACTAATGATTTAATAAGATGTACATAACATTGCCATTTCAAGTAGATCATCAGGTATTCGTTCCTATGGCTGCATGTCTAAAAATAAATTTTAACATAGCAATGCGAGAAACATGAATATGATATATGTTTAGCAATAACTGTCAACTTACCATCACATACAGGACAGCAAACTCCCGGTATCTTCTTCGCATTCATGCACGTGATTGCGCAGGAAGCACCAGTACATTGAACCTTGCCCTGTACGCAACGACATGTTGTACAGTCATCATGATCCCACTCATCACCATGTTCGTAGAGCCCTTCGTCAACCTCGCATAAGGCTTTTAAAATCGTTGGTGGGATAGTGAAGTCTTGACAATCTGGAATAGGCATACAACGTGAAATGCCATTCCAGCACTCGCACCTGCGACAAGTTTCAGGTTGCCACGTCTCTCTATGCCTGTACGGGATTCCTTGATAAGTACAGCCATCCTTTATTGACTCTAAAAAAGAGGAAATTCAGCAGTGAGCAATGCTTATCATTACCAAAGTAAACCACAATAACAACAAAATCACAATAGCTACACACGACAAGATTATTTGGTTTATGATAATAAAATCAACAAAACTCTTATCAAAATGTAAGCCATGCACACACAGAGGCCGTTGAGTCTATCGCCGAATTCTGTGAGTGCTTGACAATGAGAAGTTATCTGATAATTGTTGGTGACAGACTAAGCCGAATGTGATTCATTCCTCATTCACGTTCTTCATGGAATTGTATCTACCGTCAACTGTAGCTTCACAGACTGGATGATTTTCACAGATATCAAGTTTACCATTACAAATTTGTTGTCATGGTGTTAATAATAATAATAATAATAATAATAATAATAATAATAATAATAATAATATTTTGTTTTTCACCAATTTGAAAATTAATAATATAGCATTCTATTCTAAGGTTAATAATAATAAATGATACCAAATCTGACTTAGAGTATGGTTTTAACACAGAAAATTAATGTAAAAGACTATTTTAAACCATCCCCATTAAACATTTTAAAAGTCATTACAAAATATTGTTTACTGAGAGCCCCAAGTCTTCCACAAGTCATATGAGTATCATCTTTATAATATTCTTTCCTTCTGTAAATTAGTCTTTAAAATAACATGCTTGAAAAAAAAAGAGAGTTCTATACCACTTCCGGGAACATAATCAACTAGGTATGGCAACTGATCCTACTGAATCTTTCATGGTTTTCTTTTCTAATTTTTAGATAGAAAAACAAGATCCCTTGCATTGCCTCTATCACTTAGAATATAGTTGAAATTTATATATAAAATACAAGTACAGTATGTACTTTAGCAGTGTAACTTTTCTTACAATTTAAATTGAATCATAATCTCTGACTCCAGCTTTTGTAACTGTAAATGAATCAACTTCACTGTACCTTTAATTATAAAGGAATATTTAGCAGAGTAACAGAATCTACATGAAAATGTAATGTATACTAAACTAACAAGCTCAACTTTCAAGAAACAAACTTCCATTTACTGAGCATTTTGTTCTCTTTGTGTTTAACTCTGTCCATGATCCTGAGTATTCAATGGTAAACAAATTTTGCCATGTAAGAAAGACAATGTTAATTTCTCTGGAGAGAACTAAGCAATGTAGAACAGCCAAACTGTTGACAAAAATCTGATATTTTATTCATGTTATAACAAAGCTATACAGTACATGTGCCCAGTCCAGTAAAGTACCGCAAGCTGAAATTGCTGAACATGTGGGCCAACAAAAGGGGTTCATCGAAGATGACACAGATTAAAAAGTTTAAAATTTTAATAGAAAGGAGAAATTATAAATTATAAATTATAAATTACTACTAAATATTCTGAGCCATAGTCAAAACCTTTAAATTAACATATGTAAAGGGAGGTAGATTAAATGATTTTCACTTTATCAAGGTTGATGTGGAAGATGGTACGGTAATTTTTCATTTACTGTATACGATAAGTTAGTAATTTCAATTTCCATATATTGTTTTTGCTTCCCACAATAACTTGAACAATCACTTAAAATGTTACATTTGATGAATCCTTCACATTCAACAGAAAGTACACTTGCCACTTACAGGATTGCTTTATAAGCTAAGTCTCCTTATGAGGCTTATGTGAGTAGAGCTGTTTTTTAGTCATGATAAAAAAATCCTGTGGTGACAGGATTTGAACCCAGGATCCTGGGATTGGAAAGCAAGCATCATACAAGCTACAGTTCCACTCTCTTACAGACGCATTAAATAAAATGAAAATATGCTTACGATTAATACACTTGTAAACAGGACAGCAGTTGTCAGGATCGCCTTGCCCCTCTGCTATTAACCTTAGTTCATAGCCTTCTTCACAGGTTGGCATTACACATAGCTCTGAAGCACATTCGCAGCTGTTAGGGTATAAATCAGGATTTATTATTGAGTTAATATTACAAAAAGAAATGAAAATATTCTTGTTCTGTCTACATAACATATCAGCAGTTTAAATGCTATCAAACTTTGTTGGTAGCTAAAATTACTATAAAATTTAACGACAGAAATAGTTCTATTTTATCCAAAAGAAGTACACATTGGAATTTGAACTTGATAATTACGATTAAACACAGTCATTTTGTGCCAAAGAGTACAGAAACAAGGCTATGAAGGTCTCCATGGCTAACACAGAAAAGATAAGCTCTGCCCAGTCAGTATCTGAATAGATTCATACTAATAGGGTTTATCCAATCCTGTTGAAAACTTGAACACATCAAAGAAGGGAGCATTATCATCTAGTTAAGACAAACCACCCAAAATGAAGAATGAATGTTGTCTATTTTAAGAGGAAACAAACCTACCGGCTAGGTAGCAGACAACATCCATCAGCAGACACGCCACCAGAGATGTATCGTGAATTGACCGGACACAGGCGTGGCAAACTTGGAGGACATTCAACATTACTGCAATCTGAAGAGGGGGCTAAATATGGTGAAAAGAGTGCAAAGAGATGGCATGAGGGGTGATGAACTACAATCAATGAGGTGACATGAAAACATGCAGGTAAGCATATGAATAATGAAAACATCAATCATTTGATTAGCTGTAAGTCAATTTGGCGTGCAACCAAAAAAAAAAACAAAAAAAAAACCAGTGGTGCCTGCTTTTAAGCCACTGTAGGTCGGTAAGAACTACTGTATCATATCTACAGTACCGTATATGATTTGAAATTTGATGTGAATTGTATAGGTGCAGTGAATTACTATTAAATATCAAATAACTATGAGCTCTGTTCATCACTATTAATTCCATAATTGTCTGATTCAAGCATTATCAAATTTAAGTACAAAATATCCCAATAAATGAAACTCTATGCAAATATAAAAATTACCGGTATGTAATACTTGTGTATACATAGCATTTTGCATAGTCTACTAATGGCATCAAAGAGGCTTAAATAAAAAGTGATCCCAAGAACAAAATTAAAAGAAAGTTGCTCATAACAACTGTTGGGATAACCAAAAATGGCTCCTGCTTTAGATATTTTGATTAATGTGTTTTACAGCCAATGAGAGCAGAAACTGTGATTCTAATCAGTACATTACTGTATAAAATGAGATGAACCTTACACTAAAATATTTAAAACTGAAAACATTGTTAATAGAATGAATGTGATATGAAGTAAAATGGAAAGTGAGTAAATTATATTTAACAAGCACAAGTTACAATGATAACAAAAATGAAAATGACATTGCAATTAATCTTTGTGACAGAATGTGACAAGTGAAGTTATCAAAATATTATTCAATTAACAAAATATTTTTTCGTTTATAAATGAATATCAACAATTTCAAGGCTTTTTGTAATATAATTACAAATGCAAATGCACTCTCCAATAGAGCAAATCGTTCCACCGAGTCAAAATATTACAAATGACCATTAAGTTCATTCGTTATCCCCCTTCACACCCCCTCGAAGAAACTAGCCTACGACACTGATGACCTGTTCATAATTAAGTAGACCTATATCCAGCAATCTGGAGAAGGCTTGCCACAGCACTGGGATATAATGCTGGCTGGCCATGACCCAGGTCTGACTATCTGGATGAGACACAACAGTGGAGGAACCAAAGGTGTGAAAAAGAAATTGTGGTTTATTATGTGCATATAGGGCACACTCCATTATGGTAATTTTCCCAGACTTGGGTTCTTAGCGACATGACTTACTTAGCGGACGACACTGGAAATGATCACAGCAAGTACCAGGATGTCCATCTCCTGCTGAAACGAGTACCTTCTCATAGCCGCCTGCACAAATGATATCGTCACACCTACTTGTATCACAACGGCAGGAGCGGGGCGGGTCGCAGCATTTAGTGGGGTCACTTGGAGGTATCACAGTGATGCTATCGTTTGGACATGCAACGTTTACAATGACACACTTGATGTTGGAGCAGTCTTTAGATGTGTCTTCTAGAAAGATGAAAAAAAATTATTATTTTAAAGTATGCAGAAAGAGCAATTTTGCAACAGCTGTGGTTATTGTTCAATTCCAAGTGAATTTGGCCATCAGGGCCGGATTCACTTAAACATTTTTATAAAGTTAGTTTATAACATGTACATTTTTTTCAACCATGTCAAATTTTGTCCAAGCTTAATATTCTTATTTTATTCTTACTGTATAACACAGATACTATACACACTTTTTCATAGTTAGTAAACCTGATATTTTTTAGACATTTCATTATCCTCTATGTATTTACATGTATACGTTGGCCAAAGGTTTGGTTTCTCTTGATATGTTGTTTTATTATTTTTGTCCTTTATATACTGTATATATAAAGTCGCTCATTTGACATTTACTCCTACTCAGACTTAATTTAGTCTTAATTTGTTCAACTTTTTAGATGATTTCCTCAGTGTTCTTATAAAAAAAAAAATAGTGTACTGAAGTCAGCAGTAGGCCTATCATAATATCTTTTCCATTTTACATAGTTCTTAAATTCAGTACAGTAAGGTAGAGTAGGTCAGTGTGGTAAGTAAAGGTTAAGAATCAGATGGGAAACTAACATTTTAAGAAATATAGGCCCACTGTGTATATATATATGCTATTTTTACTTGTTATTATAACATGAGAATTTGACAGTTAAGCAGTGAATTTTAAAACAGATTTTTACCAAAATTATTCTGGCCAACTCTAGGCCTAAAGTTCAAATCAAGTTTAATAGGAGTTGGGTAAACACAAGAGCAGACAGTGATGTAGTGTTTGGCCTTGGCATATTTTCATCCACAGCATTCACTCAATATTTGCACTTGAAAAAAGCAAGTACAGTATGGCCTACAGGTAATTGCAGAGCTGTAATATTAATAGAAAAGAATTTACCTCCAAGAATAAAATTTACAAATTAGTAACTAACTAGTAGAAAATGATCATTGTATGTCAATAAATGGGTGAAAAATGTGTGAAATTAAACAATTCTGCATGCTTTGAATAAATATGTAGGTGAACTAGAGATATCTGGGATAGTACAGTACTACTAAAGAATTTTTTGATAAAAATATTTGATTTTAAATTAATTCAATCTTATAACCTGTTTGTTTTTTTGTGTTTCATGTGTCTGTTTTGTAAGGCAAATTTAAATGCCTTTTTTGTTTCTTTGAGTATATAGAAACAAAGAAATATTATCAATAATAAAAAGAAAATAATGTAAAGAACAATGTTTTCAACTTGAATAAAAAAAAAAAAAAACTATGTCCCACAATATTTTTGTTGTTGTTTTACTGATGACTTAGCTTAAATCTAAATTTTTTAAAACTAACTTGTAGATTGTGTGCAATGTACTTAATTAGTACATAATATTATTGTGATACATGATGACATTTTCATATTAATTATAAGACAAATAAATTAAATTTTTAAAGCAAAAATGCCTTAAAAATATGAAGTCAAAATAAAAGTTAAAATGAATAATTAAAATGATGCACAAATTAAAATTATAGTATCGGGTTTGCAACAATTCTCAAGCATTCTTTTCCAACAAGCTGAGCTCACATGCCTTCTAATCTGTAGTGGGGTCAATTTTGTATTTATGCCCTAATTGTGACCTTGGAATGCCAATAATGCCATCAATGTCTCTAAACAGGGTTTGTTTGGCAAATTGCTGAGTGTCAGGAACATCCCCTGTGACTTGTTGCAGGATCAAGTTGGTTATAATTGACCATTGCCTGTGTAACAACTCATTTTGACACATATTTAGTAGTACTTGTCAGGACTAAAAATTGACTAATAACAAGAATAACTCTTAAAACTGGCAGGTGGCTTGTGTATGTACGCCTATACTGAAATTGTATCTTACAATTAAATAAAAATGGATGTAATAAGTGCTAATTTCAAAAATGAGTTTTTCTCATTATAAAAGTGCATTCTGCAGTTACATCTGAAGATAATTACCTTGCATAAAAACTAACAAAATTTGATTACACATTTACATCTGCAAACAATATAATGGAGATAATGTTGCTATCACTTGATTTCACAATATATTTCTTACCAATTCTGTTTTGAAAGGATATAGTACCCAGGAAAGTACCATGGAAATGACACATATTAAGTTTTTATGAGGCGCTATACTACTGATATGCTTATTGTAGCATTGGACCCTTGTGAGGGCTTTCCTCTTATGATTAACATAACATTGGATTTATTTTTTTTAATATGATTTTACACTTCAAGCTGAGGCCTACGCTAACAGTCACACAACATAATGCAGAACTTGTCTTCACTATCCTTGAATGCATTTGATAAGATCATCAATGTCTAATAGAAGAACAACTGACAGAACACAAGGCATATGCCTGACCTGAACAGTTATTAATAAATTGTTGATATGCAGCTCATTATACTATAAAACAGTATTGAAAGGGTATGTTGATCTGAGTTGACCTGGGGCTAGCCTGTAGCCAAGTCTGTAGCACATTCCAATCATGTTGGAAATAGATGAATAGTTTTAACTTTTCACTTATTATATTGGAATCAGCAGCATACATGGAAAAGATGGTAGGCCCATATCTAAAAAAATTACAGTAAGCAACTGCAAAAAAACATTGCTAAACATTTTATCAGAGACAACTGAAATTAGGTGGCACCAGCGTCAGGCGCTTAAGCCTTGACGTTGGCCATGTCTCGTTGACTGAAAAATAGTGGAACATTTAATATTCTTCCTTTTTTGAAATTTAATATTACCTCTATACTTTTCATAACCAAGACAAACCTACACATGTTGCCATCAGAACATTTTGTAAACAAAAGAGTTTGGGCTTTGAAATGTCGTGGTTTTACAATGTCCACAGAAGAGTAAAAAACAAATGTCTGCTACCCACCCAGATTGGGAGGATAAATTGGAAAATAAATAAATTGGAAAATTTGTCCTGTTTTAAACCTTTTACGACACATGGCCTATTGTATTTTTTCAGAAACTGAAAAGTTTCTCTTTAAGGGTCAACTGCCAAAAAATATTTTTCTATTAAAAAGTCATTCAAAATGTTTCCTTCTTGTCATTAGAAACTGGCCCAAAGTCAAATTCTTTGTGGTTAATATCTACGTATTGATGGGTGATATATTTATTGCCTAAGGTTCAGATTTACTTGATTTGATTGCTGCTAGTGGATTAAGTGTTAACAGAGTCATTCAAGGGTTCTTATTTACTCTCAGTTAAGTAATGAAATTCATTTTAATTAATGATCACATAAACTTGTACTTATTGCAAATGTGGCAGTCTAGTCTATGGCAGACCATTGGCAGATTTAGGAGGAAGGGGGTTTGAAACAGGCCCCCAAAAATTATATGAAAAAGCACATGTGTTTTATGGCTATTAAATAATAGCCTAGTAAGTTGGCCTAACTAAAAAAAATTAAGACCTCTGAAAATTCCTCAACCACATCTGCATCATGAAGCATTTATCTGAACTTTTTTGGTAGGGTAACAATAAACAGAATGCAACTCATTGGAAATAAATATAGTAAACAACTAAATAAAAAAATATATAATTATCAAATTGTTGGTTTGTAAATCAATGAAAACATATTTCTTTGATCTATGTAGCCTCTGAGTGTACGTTACCTGAAATTATTTCAATTAGATATTCAATATTTCAATCATATATAATTAAATAGTCAGATCCTATGCAGGCATAAAATTTTTATACTTTTTGTGCACATGAAAACAGTTTTAGGTGTTAACATAAATTCTTTAATTCTATGAAGTGTTTGTCACATAAAACTCGATAAGATAATCCTATAGCAGGCTCCCAGTGGTCAGTCACCTTTTGCATTGGCAGCTGGCCAGAGAAACAGAGGGTTATCAAATGGACATAAAGAATATCTGTTTATTGTAAGACAGCTAAAAAACAACTACTTGGATGGAGGAATCTTGATGTATTGTATAGACCAAATTTTTATCGGGTTTATTTTGAAACAGCGCCGCCAACGTCTCGCAACTCACTGAAGGACATCCAAGGAGTCAAGTAGAGCGCCGCGCGCACACTGGTAACTACGTAGTGCAAAGTGCGTAGGTCTCTGGAAGTCCCCCACCGGCAGTTTTCAGGTTATCAGAAATTTTCATTTCCAAATTTCGTCAAAATGCTGTATAGATATATAAGCTTAGACTTTGTTTTTGTGTCCTTTTTTAATACACATTATGATAATAACTAATGGTAATGACAATTGATAAAGATGATAATGTTGATGATGATGACAAACATAATAACAACAATAATAAAAATAATGTAAATAATTTAAAAGTATGATTATTTTTCACTCTAAAAAATTATTGTTTATTGCAGTATTGATCGTTGATTATAGGTGATGTATGACAATAATTAGGATGTCATTGATGACAATGATGATAATGACATTGATGAAAATCCTTTAAGAAAATTGAAACATCATACTTTAATATTTTATATTTCATCTTTTTATTAAATAATAAGAAAATGTTATTATTCAATTCACTTATTTCTAAAGTAGATTATATTTTTTTGCAATGGATTGTAACATGTTTATAGGCAGGAAAGAATTGAATTTCTAAAGATAACTTTTAGATTACCAACAAGAAATTCTAGTTAATGTATCATCTATATTAAGTCATATCTACCTACCAAGGAAATAACTTATGATGTGTTTACCACAACCACAAATGTTTGCCTGGTGGTAGCCCAAGGCATGAAGGCAACTAACTAATAACACTCTGATCTATCACTAATTGGGCTCATAATTAAATAGCATAAAAATGTTATTATTATTATTATTATTATTTGTAACCTGGAATTCTTCTCCAACACATATACATGCATCATCTGCTGTAGGTCTTTATAGGAAAGAAAAACACCACGAAAATGAAAAAAATCACTTCACTACTTCTTTTTTGTTTTGTGTGATAATTCCTTAGGATCTAGTAAGACTAGTTTTAATCCAAT